CTCGGGCACTGTGCTGGCAGCTCTGCAGGCTCAAAGCCCTGCCTGCCATCTCCTGAGACCTAGAGGTGGTGGTTGTGGCCGTGACCTTCCTCTCGTATCAGTTGTCTCCGGGAGCCATCAGTACTAAGGCGTGGACAGGAACACCCTGCTCAACCGCTCGTCCTCACTTCATCCTCGCACCCTCTTAGCGGGACCATGTTCCGTGGGTTTCTTTCCTTCTTTATTGTAACCCCTGTTCCAAAAAAGAATTTAAGTCTCCTTGCAGAAAAATAGATGACAGGTCAAACTACAGTAAGAAAAATGAAGCTTAGAAGGAAGGGAACAGTCAGGAAGATGGAGGCAGAGGAGAGAGGAAATTTTAAATGCATGCCCTGAGGTTTGTGGACTGTCAACGAGGCTGGGCGTCCTTGCGGCCACTGAAAAGAGGGGAATGGGTTTAAGAGATTCAGTGTCACCCACGATAGCCAACCAGAGACTCAGCTTGTCCAGAAAATTTATTCTCATGGTCCTGAGAGGCGGGCAGGATATTACAAACGGTGTTTTTGGCAGAAACTCTCGGTGAACAGTGATCAGTAGGGTTCTTCTCTTTTTAGGAGGTTCTCTGTCGCTCCCTTGGAGGCTACATCTGGCCCCGAGCTGCCCACACTGGCCTCCTTAGCTCCCAGCCTCTGCTGAGTTGAGCACTTGCTTTCTGTTCTGCCTGGATATCTGGGTTCCCCTCGACCTATCACTCAGAGTGGGCAGAGGGTCACCTCTTTTCTACGCTTTAGCCTGTGCCCGAGTGTGCAGTGACCTCACAGCCGTTTGGTTTCAGCCCTGAGATAGCGGTGGTGATAGTTACTGTTATTATTTCGGTGATGTGGGAGTTCATTGCTCAGCCGCAGTGATTCCAGCCTGGGTGAGTGGGCCTGACTGCTAGATGCCTGAGGACTGCCTTCTGAACCCCAGGGTGATCAGTACAGGAGGAGCCCGGACCAGCGTTTAGAGGTGCAGAGGTGCAGACTCAAACCAGCGCCCAAGCCTGCTCCCAGGATGCAGGGCTCCTGCCAGGGACAGAGCTGGCCAGGCTGCTTCTGCAGTTTCTGCTCTGGTCCCAGGGCTCTGTCTTTTTCTCCACCCTCAGGCAGGAGGTATCTGTACCCAGAAGGAATTTCCTGTGGGTGGGTATCGAGTTCTGATTTGGGACAAGAGCTGAGCTCTCTGAGGTGATGTCACTACTCCACCTCGTTCAGTGGCTGAGTGGCCAATGTGGGCTCAGCCCTAGGTCAGTGCTCAGAGGGGCCAAGCGGGGATCTGCCTTGGACCTCAAGCTCAGGGCGCTTTCTGTTGGGCTGAGGCGTTGAGACTGGCATGAGAACCAGGACAAGCAACCCAAGCCCTCTGTGTGGTACTGATTCCAAGTGCTGTCCGGAGGAGGGAGTGGAGAGGCCAAGGAGGGCCAGAGTGTGCGGGGAGGGCCCTGTGGAGTTGCCAGTCTTCATGTTCAGCATTCTGAAGGCTACAGCTGATTTGGGCAGGGGAAGGGACCAGAGGATAACCTAAACCCAGAGAAAACAGGCTGGGGGATGCACAAAACAAAAAAATCAAAGGAAGCTTAATGATCTCAGGCTTGGCCCTTCCTAAGCGGCTGCTATCTGAGCAGGTCACTCAGCCTACAATTCAGCATCGAAATTGTGGGCGGGACAACTGTGCTCTCGTGCTGCCACCTGCTGGCTGTTCAGGAGTACTGCAGCAATAACAGGAAGGTTCAGTTGTCAGTTTTACTTAACCCGTGCCTGGTGCTTTTATACTCTAGCGAGCCCCCTTTTGATGGAGAAAAACACATTTGGTGGCTGACTATGTTTTTAGGAGCAGTAGTCGGGTGTAGCAGTTTTTTTAGGAGGAGGAGGAGTAGAAAGAGCTCTGGTTTCTACCTGCAGCCTCAGGGCAGTTGGACCAGATGATCAGAGAGCCCCCTGGCTTTGCATTCTGTGATTCAGGGTAAAAACAATATATAAATTATAGAAAGAAGTGTCTGTGGATGTCAGATGGGCTGGGAATGGGCAGGAAATGGTTTGTATCTCCACCAAGATAGGACTCTCTGGCCAGAGGGCATGGAATATGCTCAGCATTGAACATTGAAAAAAATACTGTGCATGCAATGATGTGAATTAATTCTGGAGCTCTTCCTGTGGGTGAATCGAGGCTGAGTAAAGCAGTAAATCTTGCTGTCATTTTTGAGGTGAGGCTATACTAGATTCTCCTCCCACTAGGCTCCTTTGCTTCTATAGGACTTGGCCTTGGAAATGAAAAGTCTACATAGCTTTGCTTAAGGTTCTCCGCGAGGCTCCCCAGCATTTCACTGCTGTCTCTTAAAGAGCACTCAGAGCTGAATATGCGAGCATAATGGGCTGTCAGCATTGCTTGCCCTCAGAATAGAGAAAACTGTGCTACTCCCCTCTTGAAATTACTGCCACTCTCCTTTTTAGAGGGGACCCCCCCAGCATCCTCCCGGTGTGGTGTCACAGGTCTAAGCTGCAGGGTTGGCACATCTCAGTTAAGCAGCATCTTTCCTCCCCCAGGGAAGCGGTGCCCCCTGTCCCGTTGGCAGCTCATTGGTAGATGCTGAAGCCCGTGCCTGTTCCTGTGCAGTGTGTGGTCAGTCCCAGCTGCACCCTCCGGGTCCCGGCCCCCGGAGGATCCTCAGAGGGTGCTGTGCTGGCTGCTTCTTCAGGCAGAGGGGCCCCGGCTGTCCTCACAGGCCTGCCTTTGCGTGCCGTGTGCCTAACCTCGCCTTGCCTGCCCTCCCGTGCCCCTTTCTACACTGACCCCTCCTCGCTGTACTTTGTCTCCTCTGTGTAGATTGTAAATGGACATTAAGTGGTTGAGGGAGATGTGGATGAGGGTGGTGTGAAGGCCTGGGAGCCCCGCCAGGTCCAAAACCCACTGGCCTTTTCCGATGAGGAGGAGGAAGACCTGCTGGATTTCATGTACAAGTATAAGACACTTCGAAAGACGGAGTTCCCCCTGGAGGTACACGGTGCCCGGGCGGCGGGGTGGAGCGCGTGTTTGTAAAGGGCCTGGCCCTGGAGATCTGGGTGCCCTGGAAGCCGCATCTCTTGGGGCACCCAGCATTGCCCGAGTCCCCGGGGTGGTGGAAGATCTCCCTCCATCAAACAGGCGGGACAGGCCATTAGGTGGCATCCAGTCATTTGCCAAGTGACTAAAAAAACTCTAGTAATTTAATTTAGAAATAGAAGATGGGATATTGTGTCTAAAAAATTTTTAAATTCGTTTATTATTTTAAAATAAACCTATGTGAGTGAAAGCAACCCGAATGAGTGTTTGGGAGGAAGAAAAACTCAGAATGTCTTTTGACAAGGTTTTATAAATACAGCGTATTAGCTTGTCTATCGCTGTATCTCTAAGGCATAGCATAGTGCCTGGTACAAAGTAGATATTCATAAAATGTTATTAAAGGGGCACAGTCCTTTAAAAGAACCCAAAACAATACACTTGATATTTGTACTGTTGCCAGTTGTAGATGTGGATGGAGTTTGGCCGGAGGGCCGAGCCTAGAGCCTCAAGGGCTTTGCTCTGTGGCATGGCTGGTTTGGGTGCAGAGCCGGCAGAATTGGGGGGTGCCCAGAGTCTTCCTCTCTGCCCCCTCATGCCGCCTCTCCTGTTCCCCATCTGCTGGATACTGCGGCCTGAGATTCCATCTGAGCCAGTTGGGGGTCCCCTGCCCCAGAGTAGAGACCTCTTGAGACCCAGATGAGCAAATGCATCAAGAGGTTCCCCTACACAGACACAACGGCCTGTGGCCCCGATTCACTGTAGTTACCAGCCCCGCAGTGTGCGGGAGGCCATCACATTCCTGTCCAAGGCGGGGCACTCGGGTCAGTGTTGCAGTTAGAGGTTTTGGTAAAAGGTGTTCTGGGTTTGGACACTGCTTGAGGAGTCCATTACGGCCTGGGCAGCCCTGAAATGGGGAGAGGGCTACTGGGGAAGGTGCCAAAATCACTGTAGGGCCTGGGGGTTTGTGCCGTTTGGGTTTTGTTTTTTAAAGCTGCACAAGCCGCCCACCATGGGGAGGGTCACTAAAAGTTCACCGGGTGTATTGCTCACTGCTATAAAGGTGTGGCGGTGCCCCTGTCCCCCACATGCCAGCACGACACTGAGCAGCACTGGAAAGTGATGGTGGACACAGATCTGCCCTCAGGAAGTTCAGGTGGGTGGGGAAGCTGAGCCAGCACACCTGCCAATGGTGCAGAGCCTCCCCTCGGCCTCCAACGTGCAAGCCCATGTGAGAACGAACGAGGCGACAGTCCTGGTTGCTCGAGACTGGGGAGGGGCTCAGGAGTGACTTTTGAGCAGGGTCATACAGGACTAGAACTCTGATCGGAAGGAATAGAGGTGCCAGAGGACAGTGTGTGCAGGTAAGCTGAGTGCAGAGTAGACGGACCGGATGAAGGTAGGTGGGGCCCTTGTGGAACCCCCTCGGGTGCTAGGCTAGGAGAAAACTTTTTACATTTTAAAGACAACGTTTCACTTCATTGTGTGGTTTGCTGTACATTAAAGGATTTCACATCCAAAAAGAGGACTGGAAATCTGGTGGTGGAAATTTTAAGCACAGGACCAAGAAACATAAGGCCGGTTCCAAAGGAAATGACAAAGGCGAGGGAAGAGACGAGAGGCGGTTCTCTCTGCTGAGTCACTTGCTAAGGTCATTTTGCTCCCAAGGCAGAAACAAGAAAGATGCGTCATCCTTCCGCGCATCCACTCGCTTGGGAGGTCCAGGGACTTAGGAGAGCGTGGAGAGGGGGTGCTGGCCTCCTCCCTGGGCTCAGCGTCCCCGAGATGCTTGGAAAGGGACTCTGGTTCTGTTACGGAAACTCAGAGGGAGCCCCCAGCCCCAGCATCGGGCCGAAAGAACTAGATGTGTCAACACAACGCAGCCAGGTGCTGTCCTGAGTCGCGTTTATGCCGGATTGAGGGATGCCTTTTTCTGTTTCCTCCAGGCACCGCCTAGACTCCTTCGATCTCGCTTCAGGAAGAAAAGTACCTCATCGTCAGCCACTGAAACCACATGAGCGAGATGAGCCAGCAGCACCGGATACACAGAATGTTCCTTCTCTGCCTTAAAGAGCTCTTCACTAATAACACACGTTCTGCAAGCTGGTGTGCTTTGAGTGTGCAGCCTCAGACATGGCCTTTTCTCTCCCCGCTCTCCCACTTTTAGGATATTGTTCTCGCCTTTTTATTTTGCTGGTAAGAGGCTAACAGGAAGGTGGGAGGGGGTGACCTTGTCTTCTGAGGTTAGTAATTTTCTGCAATTGGGTTGTCATTACAGACAGCCGTGTGTTTAGAAATATAAGAGAACTCCCCCCCACCCCGCTCTGAGATGTACATTTGTAATTTATTTGTTGCATACTTCATTTTTAGTCCTGTAAATGCAAACAAAGCCATTTTTTTAAAACTTTTTTTGTTTTTTGTTCTTGGTACTAATACTTTGGACTACAGTGTACATATTTATGGCTTTTGGCTTCATGTAATGAACTCGCAAGGGCTGCCTGAGGTTCTGATAATGTACGAAAACGGCAAAAACAAGACGTGTAAACCATGTTTTTGATTCTAGAGAATGTCTTAGATTGTGCTTGGGAAGCTGCCAAATACAGCTCCCTGCAGGACGACAGTCCCATGTGCTCAGACAGCTGATCAGCCTATATGTTGGGAGGTTTAGAATGAAGAGAGGAGCACAAAGGTCAGGGACACAGCCTAGCGTAAGAGGAGAGTCTCGGAAGCTCGTCTTCCTCTTGGATTCAGGGCGAGGAGCTTCTGAACCCTTTCGGGGGATTTGCCATTTGCCTCAGGCAGGTGGCTCACCCCTGGGAAAACTTCCTGGGCATGTGGACTCGGAGCTGTTGCGAGGAATCGTTTTGAACGTTTCAAAAGTTCCCGACGCGTCACCGTTTCTCCTCCACAGTAACCTGTGCTGTGACCAGCTTCCCTGGGTAGCGGAGCTTATCGCCTGAGCGCCTTTAGAGATTACAGCAAAAGCCAACCAACCGACCAAGCTGATGTGAAGCCTAGAGCTGTGCTTTGTATCAGATGTGCTGTAAAATATGAGGCACCAGTGTAACCACCAAAACGCTAGCTTCTAGAAAGGTCCTAGAGGTTGAGATCTTTATGGATATGACTTGCTGCTCAGGTCCGCGGGCAGCTGTGGCTCACTCTTCTGTTCCCCCTCTGGCTTGTGCAGAATGTGAGCGAGAGGGAAGTCACACACCCACGGGCACCCCAGGTCTTAATGAGCATTTTATATGAGCCCAGATGGCTTAGGAGAAAAAAGCACTACCCAAGAAGACTCCCTGCTTAGATTGAGAATTTTGTTAGAAAGGCGAATCTGAATTAAATCGTGTTTTGGTCCGAGGTCGCTGCGCTCCCCTTGGAGAGCCGAGCCTAAGTGCAGGACTGTGTATCTGTGCTTCGAGATGTTTTCTTTCGGTGTAATGCATGCAGCGGTTACAGCCCAGTTACTTGTAGTACTTGGATTGTGTTTGTTCATAGATACGCCCTGAAGACTAGAGAATTAGTGTTACCTACCACATAGAACTTAGTCAACCAGCTGTAAGCAGCCCGTTACACTGTTCCATCCGTTACCGAGCTATGGGATTGGACGTCAGTGGTCTTTGCTGAGGACACATTGGCTGGATCTTAGCCACCTCAGAAGGGTTCTACTTGAAGTTGGTTGTTATCAGATATGCATATTTATATCCCTCCCTCCATAATTACTCTGAGGGTGACTTTGTAATTTACAAAAGGATTTAGAATCCTAAAAAATAAACCTAAAAGCAAATTTGTGATTCAGAGGACAAACGGAAGCTGTCTGTTCATTGTCTGTGCCTCATACCCACTAAAACCTGTTTAGGGAAGACAGAAAGTCTGTTTCCTTTAAGCTCACTGAATAGTTTCAGACAGAGGAAAAATAACGCTTTTGTATGGATCCGTTAGTCAGGAGTAACCAGGATCACCAGAAGCCAGTGCATAGAAAGCTTAACTTAAGCAGCTTTATAGCAACTTTTTTTTTTTTTTTTGGCCAAAATAATGCCTGTAGCAGCAGAGATTAAAATTCTCACGTGAACAAGCTAGACTGTCACTATTCTGCAATGGACAGTTTTACCAAGTACAGACTATCAGGTTTGCACTCAACTATGCCAAAAACAAGTTTGAAGCGCTCTACTCTCAGACATGCTGTATTACTTCTTCAAGATTTAAAAATACAAAGGTATCCAAACTGCTGTCTTAATGTAAATGTAACTACTTTTCCTCCAAGTGTTGAATAGGGAGTTGGTTTCTCTCTTTAAAACACTCACTGTACAACTGAGAGCAGCTGTCATAGTTCCGGCAAAACGTGTTTACGTATCCAAGCTGTTCTTGCGTGCGGACCGACATAAATGTGAACGCCTCCAAGTGTACATGTAGTGGCGCGGTGTTCTGTCTCGAGGATGTAACTAAATGTTTTTAATTTGCTGATACACAGACACAGGCTGTTTACAAAATGCTAGCTCAAAAGTCTGTAATTTTCACTTTCATGTAGTAACTTGGTTACTTGCCATTGAACACCGATGTGTTTCTAAGGTGGTGTGGTGGTGTATTATAAACTGGAGAGCTTCGTCCTAACCCTATGGCCGTGTGAATAGCCTGCTCATTTGCTGGCCTCTGAAATGTGTTCTCCGCAGTAAGCTGTCCGTGTTTGTGGTAACAGTGCTTGTCCACCGTGACCGCCATCGAGCACCTTCCTCGTTTCCCCCTTGCACAGTGTTTGAAGTGGTGAAGGATGTGCTTCATTCTGACAGCGAGCTGATGTGCTGAATTGTGACTGTGCGTACTCGCCCTAGTTAGCTCTGTAGACCCTAGAGAACGACCTGTAATAAAACAGCAAACTGGACTGTGCCTCAGGAGTGTAAAATCACGGGATTCCCAAGGCTGAAGTTCTGCTGTTTTGTTATAATGCTTGGTATATATCTTGAATAAAGTCTTAACAGTTTTCTTTTAAAAAATACCTTTGTAATGTTGGGCTTATGAGGAAAGAGAAAATACTTCTTTAAAAAATGTGGAAGGTAGCAAGGATTAGAAGCTGAATGCTCAGCCACTAACGGGCGTGGTGCCTGGCCCCATACCTACCACACAGACTAGCTACCAGGAAAAAAATTAAATATCAGTGTTCTGAAAACCAGTTGATCACATAAATATAAATCCAGTAGTCTGCTTGTTTTGCACCTTTAAAGATTGCCAGTGGAAGCTGGGTAGCTGTGAAATTGGGGTGCCAGGTCATTTGGAAGGCAGTTTTCATTCTGCAGGCAGCCTTTTGGTCTGTTGTTTCCCTCTTAGAACCTGTTTCCCAACCTGCAGGTGGGCGACAACACGTGCAGGTCGGAGGGCGGTGCATGCAGAGGTGCACTCGGGGTACACACGCCCTGACACACTGCAGCCCTTGCCTTTAAAAAACGGACCGGCCCACGTAAACTTCACTGGTGGTCGCAAAGATGTGGAGACTCAACATTGAAATGTCCAAATGAAACACTCACTTTGCCTTTAGTCTCACACTGTACGTGGCTGACACGAGCACTGTAAAACAGAGCAGCAGGACAAGCAGTCGGAAGACTGAAAGAAGAGATGGACGGGCTGAAAGTCCATTTATTGGTTTACTTACCCAAGTCGTGTCAACGGAACTGAGATTGACCAGGTTAAGAAGTGATAGTTATAAAATATAAGAGCTCACTTGGTGCAGTGTCATGAAGAACTATCTAGTATTTACAATGCTAGATTGTAGTCACCTATTGATTTAGATCAGAATTTTCAGGTTGTTAGAAGACTCAGAAAAATACACAGGATTCCAAGGAGTTAGAGCGAGGTTCTAAATGACTTATTAGTTGTATTTTGGGTTATTTATTTAACTTTCTGTAAGCTTCAGTTTCCTCAAACCTAAACTAGGGATAAATATCTCCTTGTAAGTTTGTTATGAGGGTTAGCAGCTTTGTAGATACACGCCCATCCCTATGCTACCCACAAAACAAAAATTATATATATGCAAATTCCCTTTCCCCTGAATTGTATACCTCCCGGCCCTTCCATTTCAGTCTGTCTCTGGATGCTGAGGCCTGCTTGCCAGTCTTTGTCTCTACCTCCCCTGTCCTAGGCCTAGAAGAGAAACCAAAGGGCTTTGAGGCCACAGGGACAGAGGCCCTTGTCAATATTTGCACTAGAGAAGCCAGCGAGGCGGGTGAAAACGTCTCGCTCCTCAAGTCCTTCAGGCACTAGGCCCCATCCCTCTACCAGAGGCAGTGAGAGAGGCAGGAGTCAGGCAGGTGGGAAATTATGTGAAGCCCTGTCAGTGGTTGATTTCTGCCATCTCAAAAGTCTGAGGAAATGAAAACCCATCAAAACAGAATGCCATTCCATGCCTCAGGCTCTTACCTCATTTCAAATCAGATGTCTGGCCCAGCCAGCATGGCTCAGCAGTTGAGCATCGACGACCTATGATCCAGGAGATCGTGGTTCGATTCCCGGTCAGGGCCCATGCCCGGGTTGCAAGATGGATCCCCAATGGGGGGCGTGCAGGAGGTAGCCTATCAATGACTCTCTCATCATTGATGTTTCTCTCTCTCTCTGAAATCAATAAAAAACATTAAAAAAAAAAAAGTCTGTTCTTTATTAATTAGTCCCATAAACAGACACACTTGGCCATCTAGTTTTAGAACACTGTTGTCACCCCTTTTCCTATAATGCACACACACATTATTTCAAAGAATTCCTCTAATAATCCTGTGTAACATGCCACTGAATTTCAATGTGGTTAGCTTTCCCCTTATTGTATTAACAATAGAGGACCATCAACTTATCATCATCAACTATTAATGGATCTGAAGCAGTAATGGGGCATACTTCTATTTAATAATGGTTTGTCAACCAGGCAAAGGGCTGTTGTTTGAAAATACTTTCCAAAAATAAAATGCTTTCCAGATGATTCTGATGGGAGAGCTGAGAACCACGGCCTTAGACTATATCCACTTAGTAAACTATATTTTCCTCAGTGCTTCCTACCCGACTCTCTTCAAATGCTTAACTCATGCATCATTTCTAAAATGACTGAGATGATGTCTTCCCCCTTAGTTTCTACAGTGTGCCTTTGGAAAATTTTGGAAAAAGTTTATTCTCACAATTAAAGATATGAAATCTCAAGTGGATAAACTAACTTTTGAAAAATACAGTAGCTTTCAACTTTTGGGTAGAATGATTTTATCTTCATTTCTGTAGCTACTTTTGTTTCATGAATGGGCATATGGATAGGCTATTTCATTTACTCTTCTCTCTATAAAAAGTCCTGTTCCAATAAACTAAGCAAGAACTGTTATAAACACAGTGAACCTAGTACACTAGACATGTGTTGCTACCCCATGCTCACCTCTAAGTAAAACTGCCCTCATAACTACTTTTTGCTCCACACAAACCTGCTAACACAACCAAGTAAGCCAGGGTGGACTCCTGACCTAAGGACAGCCAATCCCTACACTGTTTGGCGACGTGAGATGAGACCTGGTGTTATAAGGTAAGCTGCCAGTTAAGAGTTCTTGGCATTTAGAGACAGGAGCTAAGGGTCATGATGCAGAAATGATCCTCAGAGGGGAAAGCTAGAGTTATTATGAGGAAGCAGAAACTAGAGCAAGGAAAAGCTGTGCATTAGAAAAGCTGGTGAGTAGAGAGAGCATAGAGCCTGCGATGAGTCACATGTGCGGCAGACCCCAAGCCTAAAGATCCACCATTTCCTACTGCTGAGGCTCCTGGAGGGGCCTCGAATCCAGGGTCACTATACAGCCTGTGCTCTTCCCGAGGCCTGGGAGTTAGTTCTGGGTGGGACATGGAGGTGGTGTGGTAGTTCCTGAGTTCCCAGGCATGTATCCTGGAAGAAGAAGCCACACTGCTTGAACTTACTTATTAGCTTTAGAGTCTTTTTATGTCTGGCCTAACTTGAGATTCCTTGTAACTAAATAAGCCAAATTGGAACAACTAGTTAAGGCATTACTACTTGTTAAAAGTAATCAATAATTTTAAACTTTTATTTCCCGGAACAAATCTGGGAATGTTTAAGCCATTAAATTTTAAAACTCTGGTAAGTTTAATGTCAGTACTTTATTTCCGTATCAGTTAGTAAAACTTACATCAAGTTTTCTACTTACTCATTTTTGCAAAGACATCATATACACAAAGATGCATATTCAATAACTGAGAAATCAATACTTCTGGGCTATACTTTCAGGTTTGTTCTGTCATGATACTTCTGATAAGGATCATCTGCATACCAGTTTCGCCTCTTCCAGAAAGACGTCGTCATTTTATCTAAGAGTTTACTCTGGGTTTTATTGCAGAACACAAATTCCCTCAGGCGCCTTTTTCTTGCAGCTGTCTTCTTCCATAATTTTTTCTTATAACCAGCCTGTTAGATATTACAAGGACACTTAGAACATTACAGAATATAGGAAACAGATAGCTTTACAGCTACTCATGGCTTATAGGCCCAATGGCAACGAAGACCAGACTTTCACTGGGGCTGGTATGTCTCTCAGAAAGATGTGATTCTCAATGGGGTTAGACAGAGAAAGCATGTGTAGTTTGAAAAAGAAATATTAATAGTCTAATATTTTGGAAAAAATTTAAATTAAAACCACAGAAAATAAAGCTAAATAAATCTTTGTGCTTGGCGAAGTAGAGGGTAATGGTAGAGAATAGCTTGCTTTATGTGCATCTTCTTATTATCTCTTTAACAATCTTCAGAAACATTTTACTCTCATTTTACAGATTAAAGAGAAATAACCATAATTAGAGAAGGTATGTAGCAGACTGTGGTCAGAGAACTAATGAGAGTTCTTAGGCTCTGCACTACTTTTTTCCCTAATGTGGAGGGAGATGAAGGGAGGACCTACCGGCTAGGCGGATAACATTTACATTCATTTAAGGGGGCTAAGTATTATAAGGGCCAAGAAGCACAGTCCTCAAATATGTTTACTCTTTCCACACACTAGGGACCAATTTCCATAATAAGTGCTTTTGTAAGGGATACTGAATACAGTAAGACTATTAGAGGGGTGGTGAAGGGGTGGCTGACCCGTATGTTTAACTCAGAACTGTCACATTTATCATCCATGCATTAATTCTGAAGAATTAACTTTTGAAGAAAGAGAAAATTAGATTGAATATAAAAACGACAATCATAGCCTGTTTAAACTAGAAGAAACTGTGGGTGCCCCCAAGTTAATATTTGACTAAAACCACACAGGAAGGCACAGGCGAGGTGAGACTAGAACCCATGCTATTTGTAAGAGTCCCTGGGTCCTTTGAAGCCAAGCGCTCTGTAGGGCACTACACTAACTGAACCAAACCATAGCTCTTTGCTGAGAAGGTGCCTTGGGTTTCTGAAAAGTCTCTGTCACCATTGTGACCGGCAAGTTTCATTGTAAAGTGATGCTCAGAAATAAGATGATTTAAGAGTTCTGGTTTTAAAATGCCAGAGATTAGATTTTTACTGTTCATTGATCCCAATTTAAAATGGAAAGATTCAAATCAAAACCCTCATATCTGTATAATTACTTTCTAGTTTGCAAGCCAAGCCGGGTCCCTGTGGATCTTTGACTTACAGCTAATTTGCTGTCCTAGCTATCACCACCAGTATCCTTTGAAGATTATTCTATGGAATGCAACAATGTGAAAACACATGAAACATTTTAGATAACCCCTAGGTTCAGAAATGGAAGGAAAGAATAAATAAAAATCAGGATACCTGGATGAAACTGACCGACAGAAAACACTTCCAGTTTTTATACATTAGTGTCAATCCGCCCAGATTTTTAATTTTCCTTTTAAAATTAGATTTTGCTGTAACAGGCCATCCTGCATATGGAATACTTTCTGGGGCCCTGAATGGGGAATAGGTATTACGATCGGAGAATTTGATCAGGTCCTTTACAGCATGAGGATTTCAGGGCCCAATAAAAGGGACACGGGAAGGAAGGCAAAGAAAACCACCCATTTCATTTTATCTAGGGTTAGATGAGGACCTGGAAATAATTAGTGTGATAAAAGGGAGTGTAAATGTTTCCAATGGTCCAAAATTTCCAAAATCCAGAACTATGAGATCAAATACTTAGTTCACCTACTTATGGATTACATGAGCTGCTATCAACTAGTGTGGGAAACTACCACGGTATTGTTCCAGTGTAGAAATGAGCTGAGAGTGCCAATCAACCTATTTATGTACAAATTTAGGATTGTTTATGAGAGAGGGAATAATCCTTTCAACCTATCAAATAGTGACAAAGTCCGACCAATTGTTTATTTTTACAGGGAACCGAATTTTGATCTTTAAAGAATCATTGGTTAACTTCTTGGGTCTTCTGCTGCTTCCTAATTATCAGTTACTCATTTCCACGAATAAGGACATGAACCATAAAGCCCAGAGCCACACTCACAACAGGACAGAGCAGTAATAATCTGTCAGAGTCCCCCTTAGAGGCTGTGGTCTGTGACCAGAGTAAGCTCTAGAGTTCTATCTGATACTTTCCCCAGAGAAAAACAGATATAGAGTTAAAAAAAAAAAAAAAGTGTGCCCTAGCTGGTGTGGCTCAGTGGTTAGAGTGTTAGCCCGCCGACTGAAGGGTCCCTGATTCGATTCCAGCCAAGGGAACGTACCTCAGTTGCAGGCTCGATCCCTGGCCCTGGTCTGGGCATGTGTGGGAGAGAACACAATCAATGTGTCTCTCTGACATCAATGTTTTTCTCTCTCTCTCTCCTTTCCTCTCTCTCTGAAAAGCAATGGAAAAAATATCCTCGGGTGGAAGATTCAAAAAACAAAAAGCAAACAACAAAAAAACATGTATGTTGGGTTACTGTTCTGTCATAAAGATTAAGCCACCTGGAGAATCCAGCCCAAGATACACTGAAAAGCTTTCAGTCCCCAAATCTGAGCCATGTGACTCAGTTCCTGCTGAAGTCTCCTCTGATGTAATACCCTAGGATTAAAAAGAGCCTCCCCATAGGTTATTACACATTGGGGGTTTCACAGAGTAATCACTAGATAAGCCAGACATGTAAGAGACCTGAGACAGCCTGTCCTACATTGAAGATTTTCACCATTGTGAATTATATTTTTAAATAAATGTTTAAACACGTTTTCTTTACTTGAATTCACTTACATGAAGTGATGCCTGCCAGTCAGTACTTATACACAGCACTGTAATAGCTATTGGTAAGATGGGAGGAAGATATGTCAATGAATAGGCTGAATTCTGCTTCATTTTAATCTGCTCACACTCCTTTTTCAATCAAGTAACAGTGTGAAGACTCACCTTCCTCCTTAGCCAAAGGCCAGAATGAAGTCGAAGAAACCTATCAATGACAGCTTTCACAGTCTTTCTCTTGCCTTTGCGTGCACTGAAGTATGTTACAGTTCTGACTGGTAGCTTCAGGACATCTGGAAGCAGGGGGGCCACTCTAAAATACATTTTAAAAATTTTAACTTAGTAATAAGAGTGATTAAAGGATAAAATCCATTTCTATACTTAGAAATAAGTAAAGCAGCTCCACTGGAACACGGCTGACTTTTAATATTGTTTTTTCCAATAATCCATGACAGTATGTAAAATAAGAATAGCAACTATCACCAACTTGCAGGCCAGACTGTAATCTACCCCCTTGATCCCTATGACAGAACTGATTCTGTTATAGTTCAGTCATCTGATTTTTAATCCACCTCCCCAGTAGATTACCACCTCCCTAAGGCCTTCAACTTGTTGATCTTTGTAGCCTTTCTAACAAGTACAGTGCTAGGCACCCAGGTGTGCCTAACTGAATACTTGCTGGTTGACCGAATACCACGTGCAGCCCACCCTTGTAAGCTGAGCATCTTGCTCACCCTCCACTTTGGCTGATAGCTTCCATCCAGGAAACCACATCTAGAACATCAGAAGTGTGCTGTTTAGTAGTCCCTGCTGTGGGAACACAGGCATATGGATGTAAATCATACCCTCCCCCTCCATCAGTCAAAGTCTATATAACAAACTGCAGGTACACAAAAGTATCATCTACTTCTAAGATGTCTTTGCAGGCATGAGTATTTTAGAATTTTTGTCCAAGCATCATGTTTACTGGAATATACTATACCTATTGAGGACTGTTCCAGTATGCCCCCATGTAAGGTTTCTGACAGATGTTATAAGTCTGGGCGCAGAGGAAACAACTGAAGTCTGAATATGACTAAGATGTCGGGTGGACAGTGCAGAACTAAGACAGGCACTGTTGGCAGAGTTTCGATAGGCTGAACACGCCAAAACATTCAGGGGCCTTAAGATTCCTGTAAAGACAGAGAAGCATATAAGCTTAATATAATATTCCAAAATATGCATCCAGGTATTTAAAATTAACTAATAAAATTTTTTAAAAGCAATTAAGTATTATACATTATTATTGTGTCCTGAAGATCAGACACACCTGTAGAGCTTTTTACCAACTTTATTAAGGTATAACTTTACATGCCACAAAATTGTGTACAACTCAGTGCATTTTAGTAAATTCAGAGTTGTGCAACCATCACCATGATCCAGTCTAATGTGTCCCAGTTCTATGTTCAACAGTACAAAACAAAATGTATGTAATATTAATTCCCACCCGCCAGATCTTATGCTCTGATGAGACAGAACTCCCGCACATAGTGCAATGGCAGAGTAGAGACACAAAAGCTTGACAACTCCCTGGAGAGACAAAAGAGTGGCAAGAGGAGGGTATATAAAAAAAACACCAGAAGAGTTGCGTGAACTCTCGTCTAGAAAATGAACAGGCCACAAGAAGAGGAGGTACACAGTCTGGGTAGGATGAAAAAACATACGCAAAAACAAGGAGGCTGAAACAAATACATGTCTGCAGTGGGGACTGGAACTGCCACAGAAGCTGCGCACTGCACACCTGACTGTACTGGGGAGTAGTGGGGAATAAGGCAGGCAGGTCAGAAGGCAGATCATGAAGGACCCAGATGTGTGGACTGAAGGCGGTTCCCTTTACCCTTCACATGACTGCCAGACTCAGTCCACAGCAATAAAGCAGAGCCACTCACAGAGCTCTGACTCCACTGGCAGATTCTGAGTCTAGTGTGGGACTAAAGAATGTGCATCTTAAAAAGGCTCTACAGCCTGGCTGGGCGTGGCTCAGTGGTTGAGCATCGACCGAGGATCCAGGAGATCGAGGTTCGATTCCCGGTCAGGGCACATGCCTGGGTTGAGAGCTCCATCTCCAATGACTCTCATCATTGGTGTTTTTCTCTCTCTCTCCCTCTCCTTTCCTCTCTCTGAAATCAATGAAGATACATATATATTAAAAAAAAGGCTCCACAGGATGGGAATTTCCTAAAATTGGATTGTAATGATGGTTGCACAACTCACTAAGTTTATTAACAGTCATCAAGCTGTACACACAAAATAGATAATTTTTTTGTTAATCCTCACCCAAGGATGTTTTTTCCATTGATTTTTTTTTAGAGAGAGTGAAAGGGAGGGGGAGAGACATAGAGAAACATCAATGTGAGACAGACATAGAGATTGGCTGCCTCCCACACGCACCCGGACAGGGCCACAGATTGACCCTACAACTGAGGGACGATGGGAATCAAACCCGTGACCTTTCAGTCTGTTGGCCAATGCTTTAACCACTGAGCCAAACCGGCTAGGGATACAGGTAATTTTTGTTGTTGTTGTTTAACACACCATCGATGTTTATTATGCTGCTCTCCCCAACAGGTCAGTGCTAGGGCTGAGGGGCTGGGCCTCCATGAGAAGTAGGTCTGGGAGCCTGGTATGACCACCTTAATGTGCCCTGAGGCCTGTGGTGGTTGTGAGGCCTGTCAGTCCTCCCCCTAGGCTTTCCAGGTCCAGAAGTCCAATGGGGTCCCAGGCTGTCAGACCCGGGAAAGCTGCCTTTGTGTTGGAAAAGGACATGGGGAGAGGCCATGTGATGTCTCAGAACCTGCTAATTCCAACATCAGCATGTGACAGGAGGGAAACTGAGGCAAGAAGATAGAACCCAGAGGAAAAAGTGACAGGGGGTTTGAAAGTGACGTAGGCAGGGAGGACCAGCATCTTTTAGGTGCTGAGTCAGACGGGGGAGAGAGGGAGACTTCCAAGTGCTTCCTCCTGGCTCTGGGAGAGTGAACAGGGGAAGAGTTGGGGTTCTGGTCAGTCAGGATGAATCCTGAACAACTCCAGCTCCAGCCCCCAGGGCAGGCATGCTTGAAGGGACTGCAGTGCCTGGAGAGGTCTTGTGGGCCCCTGCCCTTGGTATGCCTGGGAGGAGTACTGAGGGGTTTGGCAGCCTCATCCCTGCAGGGCCCTCACTGAGCCTTTTTGGTCACCTTCTGGCTCTTCTGCAGCACATAGGTGATGAACACCCCCACAAACAGGAGCAGCAGGAGGCCAGTGGCTAGTGGATGACAACAGCATAGGCTCAGGGCAGGAAACACTGGTGGGTGACACGCTAGCTGTCAATGAATGGCGAGAGAATCACCCAGGCAGTGTAGGAGGTGAAGATGATCAGGCTGACAGCGACGAGGCCACATCCCACCACCTGTCCTGTCTCCATGGCCATTACGCCCCACCCTCTAAAACAGGTACTTGTATGGTATGTAAATTATACCTCAATAGTTGACTTTTATTTTTTTTCACTTGTAGCAAGGGTTACTATAAAACTCCACTCACTGGGCCAAAGACCCTTGTGGTGTTAATGAAAAACTTGCCCCTCATGTAGCACATTACCTAGACGTGTGAGTTCATTGGCCACCAATATAGATGACTTTTAACAAAGCTCACAGGGAAGTCAAGAGCTCAGCCAGGCTTAGAACCACTGCCTTACTGTCCACTGCACTGACTTCACATAACAAATAAAAAGCAGTGTGATACAGAAGTGAAGTGCTAGAGTTTGAGTCAGACTGTTTGACTCTACTACTCTACTACTACTAGCTCTACTACTTACTAGCTATGTGACCAATGGGCAAGTTACTTAACCTCTCTGCGCCCCAATTTCCTCAAATTTAAATGAAATTTATCATGGGGAGCTAGTGAGAATTAAATGAGATAAAATATTGAATGCATGCTAACAGCAGATAATAAAGAGCTGGGGAATGCTTAGCAAAGATGGCATAGTGTAAACAGATGGCAAAAGGAAAATGGGACACTTAAAGCCCTTATTTTGCTTTTGTGTTCTCCATCAAAGAAAACAGCTCTCGTCCTGACTGGTATGGCCAAGAGGTTAGAGTGTCGGCCCACGGACTGACCGGTAGCAGGTTCGCTCGCCGGCCCAGGTAGTCACATCAGGGACTGTTATTTAGCAGCAATGAGAAAGCGATACAGCTACGTGCAAAATGAATTTCACAAAGTAAAAGATACAAGAGTAGAGACTGTGTGATTCCATTCCTGTAAAGTACAAAAACAAGCAATATTTAAAGATGCACAAATAGATGCTAAAACTATTACAGAAAAAAAAAGACAAGGTAATAATAAAAATGAGCACAGTGTTTATATTTGGCCCCAAAAGGGGCTTCTGACTGGGGAGGCTCAGGGGTGGAGGAGAGGCTCTTGGTGATGTTCTATGTCTTGGCCTGGGTGTTAGTTATACGATGTTTGCTTTAAATTTATAGGCAGTCTTTGGAGATACTGTGGGCTCCATAACAGGCAGCCACAATAAAGCAAGTCACAGGAATTTTCTAATTTCTCACTGCATTTTAAAAGTTATGTTTAGATTATACTGTAGCCTTTTAAGTGTGCAACAGCACTGTGTCTTAAAAATACTTAACCATCATCTGGGCCTGTTGGAAAAATGGCGCCAACAGACTTATGCCCCAAAGAATTACCACAAACCTTTGATTTGTTTGAAAAAAAAAACAAAGAGAGTAGCTACAAAGCGCAATAAAATTAGATAGGCCTGTATTTAAACCATTCATGTATGTTATGTAAATTTTTCTTTTTTATTTCTATTTTCCCACAGAATTTCTTATCTATTTTTTGTGAAAGTAACTTACTGTAATCTTATATCTGAATGCTCCTTAACGCTTTGCAAAAGTCCTTAGGCAACTAAATTGCCTTCATTCGTGTCATCTCATCAAGAAACCCCGAGGCTGCCCTCGCGCCGCGGCCGAGGGAACCAACGGCCGCCGGGCTGCGCGTCGCGCGAATCTCGCGCAGCAATTCCCGTGCGCCGGGCGCTGCGCGACGCGCTCTACGTGCAGGAGCTCGCTCAGCCCTCAGGTAGATGCTATTAACTGCATTTTACAGCTATAGAATCTGAAATTAAATGACTTAGGCAAGGTCAAAGGTCGTGAAAGGTGGGTCCTAGCCCCTCGCCCCCCTTTCTTGTGCTTTGGTTTGTAAGGAAAGCGAAATGGCTAGGAGCCCGTAAAAATGCGGAAACTTCGAGACACCCAGGTGCGCGAGGGTCCAAGAGTTTCGGAACAACGCTCTGGCTTCAAATAACGACACCAACCCCCCTCTCGTTTTTTTCTGTTAACCTCCAAGCTAAACACCCACTCCATCCTGCGCCAATCCCCCCTTCTGTGAAGGCAAAAACCGAGAGCGCTGCTTTCCCACTGACCTGATGCTGCTCTCAACGCACCGGCAAGCACGGGGGCCGCCATCTTGCTAACCCCGTTCTACGGCAGCCGCATCGGATCTAAAAGATTCAGGGCAAAGGGCCATTCCGGAACACTACTGGGGCGGAGTCAAGGAAGGGGAAAAAATTAAAGGAGCGGTCAAATCAACCATTATTGAATGTCTAGTGCATGTCAGGCTGTCCTTCGCCGCTGTAAAACAGAATGCCTGGCATATAGTAGGCCCTTAATAAATTTTTACTGAGCATTTTATTGAAAGGTTTAAATACACGACATATTTGAAACAATCTCTGTGCTCATCTTATTAAATTTGAGAGAATAAAAACTTATTATCCCTCCAAAACTGGTAGATGAATGGGAAATAGCAGTATTATTAAAAATTATTAAGAAAGAATCCCTGTTGCCTTTGAATATATTCTTCCCACCCTTACCAAAAAATTAGTTTAAAAAAGTTGAACTGCAGCTACAATCAAATAAATGTAAATATTCTATGGATATCTCACTTTTTTTTTTTCCTAATCAAAAACACTGTCATTTTGTAGAACAGCTTATCTACTCTTACTGAACAATTCTGCAGTTCCTGAACAGTGCCTTATTTTATTCCTGAGAATTAGTGCTTGTACATCTTTTCTAATGTTCGTTCAAACAAACAAAAAAACCCAATCAACCTCTCTCCCATCGTTGTTGCCTAATATACTCCATGTATATACAACATATAACACTATTTACTGGTTGAAAATGCATAAGGGTTAAACACTGGGTCTCAAATTCACATTTAATAAGGACACAAGTACAAGGCAGATGAATGACTCACAGGGGAAGTTCAAGATTAAGGTGAACAGGCTTCTGGTTGGGATGATCAAGGACAAAGACAAAGAATATAATATGGTTTTTAAAGAATGGAGAGGATTTAACAAGGGCAAGGTCATTCTTGACAGTAAGAACACAAATGGCTAAGGTGAGAAGAGAGGGAGCCAAGACAGACAGGATTTATTTAGAGCACTGGTTCTCAAACTTTTTGGTCTTAGAACCTCTTTACATGCTTAAAAATTGAAGACCCGGAAGAACTTTTAATTCTATGGATTATATCCATTACTATTTACTGTGTGGGAAATTAAAATGGAAAAAAATGAAAAGTACTTATTGTATTAGTTTCCTATTGCTGCTGTAACATATTACCCAAATTAGTGGTTTAAAACAATACAAACTTACTACAGTATTTTATTATTCTGTAGGTTGGAAGTCCAAAGTGGGTTTCACAGGCTAAAGTCAAGGTCTCTAGCGCTGTGTTCCTTCTGCAGGCTCTAGGGGAGAATCTGTTTCCTTGTCTTTTCCAGCTTCTAGAGGCTGGCTGTATTCCTTGGTTTGTGGCCTCCTTCCATCTTCAAAGCCAGTAACTGCAATCTTACTTCTGTATCCATTGTCGTATCTTTTTTGAGTGATCCTCCTGCCCCTCTTTCACCCATCAGTACCCGTGTAATTACATTGGACTAACACAGATAATCAAGGATAGTTCCCCCATCTCAAGATTCTTAATCACACTGGCAAAAATTTAAAAATATATATTTTTATTGATTTCAGGGAGAGGGAAAGATAGAAACATCAATGATGAGTCATCGATCAGCTGCCTCCTGCATGCCTCCTACTGGGGACAGAGCCCGAAACCCAGGCATGTTCCTGACCAAAATTGGTTCATGGGTCGATGCTCAACAGTTGAGCCACGCTGGCTGTGTCCAAATTTTTTTTTTTTGTCATTTAGGATAATATATTCAGTTTCTAGAGATTAGGAGTATGGACATATTTGGGGATATTCTGCTGACCACACATTATTTTATTATAGTTTTAAATTTTATCTTTATTGTTGAAAGTATTACAGATTTCCTTTTTCCCTCCATTGATCCCCACCCTGGGCCTTCACTGCACTATTGTCTGTGTTCATGGGTTATGCATATATGCATATAAATTCTTTGGTTAATCTCTTCCCACTCCCCTTCCTCCCACAATTATTTTATTTGTTTTTAATGAGATTTCTTTTTTTTTTTAAATCCTCACAGGAGGATATTTTCCCACTGCTTTTCAAGGAGAGTAAAAGGGGGAGAGAGAGAGAAAGAGAGAAAGAGAGAGAAACATCTATGTGAGAGAGACACATTGATTGGTTGTCTCCAGCCCCAACCTGGGCTGGGGGTCAAGCCTGCAACCAGGTATGTGCCCTTGGCTGGACTCAAACCCGGAACCGTTCAGTCTGCAGGTCAAAGCTCTAACCACTGACCCAATCTGGCTAGAGCCACACTTATTACTTTAAAACAACAATAATAAACCTATTACATGTTAACATATTTTTTATGAAAAATAACTATTCCAAGATTTAAAAAAATTTTAGTGAGAAGAGCGGCATTGTTTAACCTTTTTGCAAATCTCTTTAATATCTGGTTTAATAGAAAGCTGGATACTGAAATTTGCTTATGCATTCAATCTATTGAGATATCTGGACAACTCTACAAGATAGTGAATGAAAACAGCAAATAATAACCTCAATATTATGAAGTTAGTTTTGATTTTGTGGACCCTCTGAAAAGGTCTGAGGCTCCCCAAGGGTCCCAGATCACTCTTTTGAGAACCACTGAGATGGTTATCCTTCAGTTTCCCTGGTTTATGACATATAAATGGGTGATGAGCTTGCACTGCTGTTGTTGCTGTCTTGATCTCATACCTACAGTGGCCACTTTGAGCCTAGAAACATCCACACATGCTTGAAAAGTACTCTGAGGCATTTCATAAAGGCTCTTTAAATTGGCAGTGGGAGTCACTGCAGTTTTTGAACAGGGATGTGGTTTAAGTTTGAGTTACTTTATGAGAGTGCTTTTTTTTTTTTTTTAAATATGTCTTGATTTCAGAGAGGAAGGGAGGAGAGAGAGAGACAGAAACATTAGTGGTGAGTCATTGATCTGCTGCTTCCTGCACTACCCTTACTGGGGATCAAGCCTGCATTCTGGGCTTGTGCCCTGATGGGGAATTGAACCTCGGTCTCCTGGATCATAGGTCGATGCTCAACACCGGCCAGACAGGAGAGTACATTTTAAAGCCAAAAAAAAAAAAAAAATCATAAATTGCATGTGGAGGATGAGGATTAAGGACTTGGTTAAATGAAAGGTTAGAAACCTGTAGAAAATAATGTTGGAGTTTGAGATCTTGAAGCTGAAGTTGCTAATGATGTTCAGGCTCAAGGTGTGGCTGAGCCATACACGGCTGGAGCAGACTGAAATTGCTTATTGGCAATGAGAGGTTTATGGCCAAGATGTTAGAAAAGTCATCACACTGGCATCAACCCAGCATGACAACAGTGGGCAGAGGTGGGTGGGGAAACCAGGTTAATTGCTAAAATTACTAAAAAAATATAGGAGACTGTTCTGGAGGCTGTTAGGTGATGGTGATACGGAGAGTGTAACTACTAAAGTACATAGACCATATACAAATATAAGTATTTCATTTTAGTTCATTTTCAAATCTATCCATTTTATATATGGGATTAGTAGCCTTGTCTACCTCCAGGGAGAACACCATACTGTAATAAATTACCCAGTTAAGACTTGAAAGTACTTTGCAAACACAATCGGTATACAAGTTATTTAGTTTCTATGATATTGCACTAGTAGTATTGAATACTGTGTTCAATATTTAATGTTATACCTTGATTAGAGACTCAGTGGAATACTTTGAACAGTGCTTCTGCGCTGACCTCATCTTCCCAACCCATGCCATAGACTGCGGCCAAATTATCCTTCCAAAATAAAAACTTGGTGGAGAAAGCTGCGCAGTTTAATCTGAAAGGAGTAGAAGCTGTGGAACCCGAAGAATCTGGGTTCCTATCCCCGCTCTGCTATTTCTTACGTGAACTACACATGACGCACAAAGGTCTCTCCGGTGTTGGTTCACCCAGTCTCCCGCAATCAGGAATACTTCTAAAGAAGGGCTGTCAAACGAAACCAAGACAACACCGATTTGGCCAAAAAGATTCCTTTCTACGAAATATCCATCCGACGGAGATGGCTGAGATGCCTTCCTGCTTGAATTCTCCGAAGAGTCACGCCTATCCGTTTTCCCAGCGGATCGAAGCCTGAGTTTGACACCCACGCTCCCCTCTCGTTCACCTAGGAACCCCGGGTTCGAGGTACCGACTAGAACTGAGAGCGCGACCCGGAAAAAGAAATTACTCTTTCCGCCAAGGGCCCACGGTCTTAGAGCTGCTAGGGCGGGAAGAGAAAGGGGGCTGCGCGTGCGCAGTGGCGTTAATGCCCTCCGGTACGCCCGGCGCAGAGGCGGCACGGACGCACGCACGTACGC